TTAAAAACATCACTTTTGTAATATCTTCTATTCCTTTACGAAAGACAGGAAAAGTCAACATACTTTTAAAAAATCGTTTGTTCTATTAGTATAAATTATTCATAAAAATAATTTTATACTTAAAATGTTCATTTTCAAAGAACAATAACACAGAGAAATTAAATTTATGAATTCTTAACGAGTTAATGACACTTAGGAATTTCGCGCCGATAATTTTGTTTAAAGCTAAAATATGCAAGTTCATTTAAAATAACAAATATTATTCGTACTTCAGTATCTTTATCAAGCGAAGTTAAGTTAATCCAAACGTAAAAAAATAAAAATTTCTCTGCAAAAAATGTATTACTTAATCGAATTCCAGCAATGAACATTCACGCGTTAACAGTTCGACCCCAGTACCTCACCGCCCTCAACAATTTTAGAGCCCTGGTATAAGGATCGCCTTATATTGGATTCAAGATTCTGAGGCACAACAGTGTGGTCAAATGTTGATGTTTATGAGATATATATATATATATATATATATATATATATATATATAGAATATATATATATTTATTATTTATATATAAATATAAGTGTACTGATATATATTTATATATAAATATAAACTAGAGCTGATGTTTATATATATATATATATATATATATATATATATATATATATATATATATATATATATATATATATATATATATATATTATTTAGAATAGATGTGAGTTTGTGACCCTGGGTTTCACGCTTTAGCGATCGTCAGACGAACAGCGTGAAACCCAGGGTCACAAACTCACATCTATCCAACCAAATATGTTAGCTCTATCTCTGATATTGAGCGCTTTCTAATAAGTACTGTGCATATAATATATAAATAATTATACATACTTATATTTATTTATATTTATATACACTTTTCATATTTATATATATATATATATATATATATATATATATATATATATATATATATATATATCAACTAAAAATAAATTTTGTGTAGGGAATTCACAAAGTATGCTTCTTTAGAATTTTGTTGAATTACTGCTCCACCCCAGTTTTATTTCTTAGGAAACTGCATTGTTTCGTTTGTATAATTTATGTAACAATTTGTGCCCGTTTTAATTAATGTCAGACTGCCGTTAGTTGCCAATCTACGGGTCATGACACATTTATAAAAACGTTTAACGTAGGTCATATTTGATTAATTATTCAGAGTAAAGACCACAAACCTTAAAACGCTATTTTTTCGTAAAAAAGAGTTTATATTTTGCTTTTAAATCTAAATAGATCCTTCACTCGCCAGTAATATATAATCGCATGATGAGATGCATTGATACGCATCGAAACACGGCTGCAATTGTGTAGCGATATTTACATATTTTCGGCTTCCCCTGTAGCTAAATTATACAGCACATCGGACTATATGACAGTTCTGTGTAGGATATACATTCGATTTCTGTAGGAGAACACATATTTTCTATAAAATTTATCGGACATTCAGGCCGGCAAATGTAGTTAATAATGTTTATTATAAACAGAGCATTTACATAATTATTTGTATCTATATAAATAACGTATAAAAAATAAAATATATTAACATAATTGTCACACTTAGTCCATTCCATAATATATGATGCAATTTACTTACGTTAAGATACCCATCGAGCAGATAAGAGTGTTCGAGGGAAATCATGGAAAATTTGTAGTTTAAAAGCAGTAATTTGAACTTGCTAACCAGACACGTCCTCTGTAGGCAAATGGTATATCACATTATGCTATATGACGGTTCCGTGTAGGATACAGGTTCGATTCCTGTCGGAGAACACCTACTTTATATGAAATTTCTCGGACATTCAGTAGTTAATACCATTTATTATAAACAGAGTATGTATTTAAATAGTATTATCTATAAAAATAACGTATAAGCTGAAATATATTAAAATAATTGTCGAACTGTCTGTATATATTAATTAATTTTATTTTTGATTACTTTTATATTCACATTCTAGTGGCAACACGTTTTTGAGAATTGTCGAAAGTCATGTTTAAACTCTCGAATGCAAAATGTTAAAAAAAAGAAACAAAGCAAAAAAAAAAGTTTTGCATCAAGAGGTATCAACTAAAATATAATGGAGATTAACTATAAATCGTCGGTCCAACTGGCTTATCAAAACCAGTCCTTAAGGACCAATACATGAAATATTTCAATAAAAAACGATATTTTTATCTAATGGAAATGGAGAGAGCCACTTGAAATCAGGGGCGAATATGTAGAATAATATAAGCGTTTTATGATTCAGGATGATATTTTTGTTCGTCTGAGGACTTTTCAACACATCTCGTATATACTTCTTTAAACGGGAATATTATATTCCCATTTTTCATCCGCTATCAGAAGTTTTCGGTAATAAAAACCGAAACAAATTACTTAATGTGTACCTATCTGATTGAATTACAAACAGCATTCTGCTTTAATACCAAACGTGTTAAAATAACATAACTCTAACGTAAGTTTTTAAAAATTAATGCGGACTGAAAATTAAAATGGCTACTGATACTAATACAATGTTAAAATACAACAGTGTAAAAAGTCATTAACATTTGTCGTTATATGGAAACTGTAACTATATCTTTGCAATACAATTGGAATCCTCTTTCGCAGTAGCTCCAAGGCGGATAGCTTCACTATCTGCCTTGGAGTTAGGCAATCCCATAGGAATCGTTATCGTTAATATCTCGCTTCACTGGGTTTGGCACGTAAGCACTTAATTTAAAAGAGGGACGCCTTAATGATCACGCCTTTGATAAATTTACGTCTTCACTATGAAGATCCTGCTGTATAGCGATGGCTCTTAAGTGCGATATCGGGGGCCTTTATTTGTGACGTAAATCCTAAAATTTTATTCACAAAGTCAATTTTTGCTAAATTTTGTTTCAAATAAACAGAATCCAGCAGTCTCCCACAACAAACTTGCGTGTGGGTGCAGTGTGTGTGTTGGCTTTAAGAGTGTGGAAACAACTTATTTGTAAGTCTTATCAAACAATTGGTTGATGACTGAAACGAGAGATCATGTCCAGGTAAAAACACTGTGTTGCTTACAGGTTCAGTAGTAAAAGAAAATCGATGAAAGGTATGATCTGAAGCAAATGTACAATCGAAGACGTACATTTAGCAAATGCAGTCAGTCAGTTATGTGCCATGCGTGATACACGTTTAGGCGATCATGTACCTTTCTATACATGACTGACGAGGCAGATTTTTTCCCGCAGTAGGTTGTCATTTCTTTCTGCAGTAGACCAGTTGCCATCCAAGGCTTAAAGAACACGCTCTGTTCTACTATTTATCCGGAGAAGGAGAGAATCCCTACCTTTCCCAAGGGTATTAGCACCTAAGTGAATATAATGAATTCGACCGGAATTCGAACACGGCTTTCCTATTCATCATTCTGAGCTGCTATCTATTACTCTTTTTCATTACAAAATCTTTATTTGAAGAAATGGCAAGACGCTTGGAACAATTGTCAAAACAACCAATTATTTAAAATCAAACCCTCTCTAAAGAAACAACTAACTGAACACAGAAAATCACGCAAAGAAGAAGTGGTCTTATCCCGTATTTGCATAGGACAGACGCACATAACTCACTCCTTCCTCCTAAAAGACGAAGATCCTCCTGAATGCATAGCATGCCAGGAGGCTTATACTGTGAAGCACTTCCTGCTTGATTGCGGTGACATGGCACATATACAAAAATTATTTTACAACGTGAACAACTTGAAAGAACTTTTCGAAAAATCAAACCCCAATTTGATCATGACCTTTCTTAGGAAAGTTGGACTATATAATAAAATATAATTCCAATTTGGTGTCTGATGATGAAAGGGGAAACATTGATACTTGCCAGGTGAGAAATCTTCAAAGAACAACGCACCTCTGAAAACAGTGAATTTAAAAAAAAAGCAAGACAACATCAAAAAAGAAGGAAAGGAAAGGGAAAGTTTTTTTGAAAGCATTTCAATCTTATTTAAAGAAAAAGAAAAAAAAAACTGTTTGACCTTAAATGATAAATTGCTGATCGAAGGGTCGTTAAGTTTAAAAAAAAAACAAACAAACAAATCATTACAAAATCTAATATAAGGGTTTACTGAGTGTTAGAGAAGCACACTACTAAGAACAAGAATTAAAAGACTGTATATAACGATTGACATTGCAATTTTTGAAGAGCAAATTTGATTTTCCAAGTAGAACAACAGAGAAGTGAGAAAGAGGAAACTGTTAGCATAGAACTTACGGTTCCATGTACCTGTTTTAAGTGTAAATGGATGAATATTTGAAGCCAATAAATAAAGTATAAATTAACGTCTAGGTAACATATCAGTGGGTTATGTGCCATGCGTGATACACCATTTTGGCGATCATTGAAAACTTTCGATACATAATTGACGAGGCCGATTTTTTTCCACCTTTATTAGTTTTTCCAAAACTGGACACTTGCAATAGACCAGTTGCCATTCAAGTCTATAGAACTGGTGGTGAGAAGAAGAAAATGATAAATACATAAAGGATTAGCATGTAAGTGAACGTAATGGATTCGACTGGAATTCGAACTCGGCTCTCCGATTCCTCAATCCGAGCCGTTATCCATCACTCCGCCATGCCTCCACCTAAGCACATCCGGAGATTCAATAACAGAGATTGTGTAATAATAGAAAACAGGAAGTGTGCTACATAAAACGGACAGAGCGGATGTGTAGTGACAGATATTTTTCAAAAACGGTGTCAGAGATTAGAGGTCAAAGAGTAATATTACAAAAAATAAAGACTACTGTACTACTGCCATTTCTATGGCAGCTGAATCATCACAATTTCATCACAAATAAAAAAAAAAAATAACAATAAACAACAAAGATCTCCTTCTATTAACGAATATTCAGAACATAATTGCCAGAACCTGAAACAGACGGAGATGTCCGCAGGTGAACAGGATGTATAATAAAAAAAGTTAGATAGATAGATAGATAGATAGATAGATAGATAGATAGATAAAGGGTAAGTCTGTCTTAGATAGATAGATAGATAGATAGATAGAGAGATAGATAGATAATGATTAGTCTTCACAGATAGATAGATATGAATAGATAAATAAAGGGTAAATCTGTCTTAGATAGATAGATAGATAGATAGATAGATAGATAATGACTAAGTCTTTCACAGATAGATAGATAGATAGATAGATAGATAGATAGATAGATAGATAGATCAGTAAGAGACTACAATATACATAGATAGATAGATAGATCAGTAAGAGACTACAATATACATAGATAGATATATAGATATATAGATAGATAGATAGATAGATAAAGGGTAAGTCTGTCTTAGATAGATAGATAGATAATGATTAGTCTTTCACAGATAGATAAATAGATAGATAGATAGATAAAGGATAAGTCTGTCTTAGATAGATAGATAGATAGATAGATAGATAGATAGATAGATAGATAGATAATAATTAGTCTTTCACAGATAGATAGATAGATAGATAGATAGATAGATAGATAGATAGATAGATAGATAGATAGATAGTGTTGTAACCAAGAAATGGTTACTGTATGAAGAATAACCAAAACGGAGTCTGCGAATGAAATGGTAATCTTTATAATATCAATAAAATACAATAACCGCCAGGGGCGTACGTATGTAAACCACTTCTAGTGGTAGACTACTTAAACAGCATATTATCCCCACCTACAATTTTAGCACGCCGGCCTTCTCCGCAAGATCCAGGGTTTTGGCATTACGGGTCAATTATATAACGTAATACAATCATTCCTGTCAAACCGTGAATTGAAGGTCGTTCACAACGGATTCTCCTCCAGTTCCTACCCCACGAACGCAGGAGTTCCTCAAGGCTCCATCCTAGGCCCCACTCTATTCCTTATCTATATAAATGACCTTCCTGACGCCGTAATTTCTCAAGTCGGCATCTACGCGGATGACACCACAATTTATTCCTGCCTCAAAAACAAATCCAGTCTCGCTGACAAAAACTCACCTTGCCGTGCGCCTCGAAAAGGACCTCCAATCGATTGTGAACTGGGGCATGATTTGGCTGGTCAACTTCAACGCTTCGAAGACTAAACTGCTCTCTATTAATCACCACAGAGATCCTTCCCTTCCCTCCATTATAATGTCTGACGCTCAACTTCCGAGAGCAACTCTCTGCGGCTTCTCGGTCTCACGTTGACTGCTGACCTGAGATGGAATAAATACATCGAGTCAATTGCCTCGTCCACTGCGAGGAAAGTTGGCTCCCTGAGCCGCGCTAGGGAAGTTTTTCTCCCTGAGTCGATCCTCCAGATATACAAATCCACAATTCGCCCTTGCATGGAGTATTGCTGCCATATATGGTCTGGCGCCCCTTCTGTTTGCCTCGGGGTTCTTGATAGGCTCCAGAGGCGGATATGCAATATGGTTGGCCCTGCCCTGGCGTCTCGTCTACAGTCACTTTCTCACAGACGCACCGTCGCCTCCCTCTGTCTGTTCTACAAATACTTTCATGGAAATTGCTCCGAGGAACTGCATTCGCTGGTTCCCAAACTTCATGAGTTCAAGCGCCCTACGAGGCTGGCATCCCGCTCTCACCCCTTCACTGTCGAAACTCATAAATGTAGCCGTCTCTTCTACTCTAATAGCTTCATGTCTCGCACCTCTCGCCTGTGGAACTCTCTTCCCTTCTCCTGTTTCCCTGAGAGTTATAATCTCCAGCTATTCAAGTGTAATGTCAATCGACATCTCCAGTTGCGTTAATCTATCTACTACCCTCATCCTTTCTTCTATCACTCCTATCTGATCTTCCTATTTTCTGTAACCCCTTGCGTCCTAGTTGTTCCCCGCCTTGCTTGGGGTGAAATGCTTAAAAAAAAAAAAAAAAAAAAATTTGAGGATTGGAACATAATTATTAGTGTTCATGGGTACGTTATATAACAGCTAGCTAGGTAGCTACATTGATAGATAGTTGAATGTGGTAAATCGATGAAAAAATGCCAAAATGCGAAGAATTACAAGATAATCACAGAAGAAGAAAAATAACTATATCAAGAGATTATTGAGAATAGACCTGGGAATTGTTTGTTGCTGAGTCAGCCAGAAATGAAGACATCTGCGACTGACTAACAAGAAGCGAGGAAGAAACGATCTTTAATGACTCCAGTTCCATGTTCAAGTTCTTTTACCCCCCCCAAATATATATATATATATATATATATATATATATATATATATATATATATATATTCAATTTTTTTAAATGCAGGATTGCATCAAAGGAATCCTTTTTTAAATAATATTCATATTGTTTATTAACTTTATATGTGTAAAATTATATTTTTGATATGTACTTGTGAAACTAATTCTAATAATGATGATGGTATTTTCACAAAGCCGTGTCCTTATCATTACATTTTTTTCTACATTCTATTCTAACTCATAGGCCACATCTA